ATTGAACAAAACCTTGCGCTATATTAGCAACCGAGTCAACAAAATAAAGGTTGAATGCTTCAGCCACAGCGGAGGGCTCGCTTGAGAGACTGCCATTAATTTTGATTTCCAATTTTTTGTTCTCTTTGGCTCGATGTCCTGTAATTTTCTTCAATTGATCCCATATAGCTTTGGAGTTACCATTTGCCCCTTCTATTATGGTAAGGAAAAAAATCAGCTTTAGCTTTCCTGATTGACCTAACTACCTTATTTCGGAACATAGCAAATAGACCACGATCATGGGTGGATTTAGATTTCAAAGCTTTTTTTAAAGCCTTATCTCGCTCTTTCATGAGATGTATTATGTCTGTGTTGATCCAAGGAACTGCATTTTTATGCGGTTTGAGCTTAATTTTCCGTGTGTAGTCCACAACTGTTTTCTGGAGTGTTTCATGGAAGGAGTCTGTGGCAGTATTAACATCATTATCGTTCAATGATAGATCCCAATTTATTTGTTGAGGTGCAGAAAGAAAGCTTTCATAATTTTTTTTGGGGATATCAGTGATGACATTGGACGAGGGAGAAGATCGGAAGCAGCTGCATGTCAGTTTCCTGGCTATAAGGGTGAGATTGTGATCAGACAGCCCTGTTAACATATTAAATGATTTTGTGATTCTTTCTGGCCTGTTAGAGAATATGAGGTCAATTTGAGTATTTGTAAAGTTTGTTATTCTTGTTGGGCCACAAACTATTTGGGTTAGATGAAATTTATCGGTGATTTGTTTCAACTTTTTCCTTGTAGTTTTATTAGCCCAATTAATATTGAAATCCCCCATTAATCAATCAATCAATCAATCCTTTATTATCTCACACAGATGGAGAAATTCAGTTCGATGAATAAACATCAAGGCCGGCCGCGTACTCTAATTTTCCGCGCTCCTTATGACAGTTATTCAACAGCAGAGAGCAAAACAGACACATATTTCAACAAACATGGGAGAGACACGGTACATGTGGAAAACATGCGGATCTTTTTGAAGGGAAGTCATCACTCTGGCCCGCCTCGTCCAATATAGCGTGTCAGAGGGGAGTGTGGGTGGGGGAGGCGGAGGGGAAGACCACCGTAGACTGAAAAGAGAGGGAGGCAGACATGTAGAGGGGGGGGGGGGGACTGTAACTGGTGTTCTGGGTTGTGAGTCTGAGTTAGATAGAGTCCAGTGTCGGCCTTGAGTGGCCGGTAGCAGGAATGTGGAATGTGAAGGACAAAGATAGCGCAGGTGCCTGCAAACATTGGAGACAAAACAACACATGCCTTGTGGGAAATTTGTATAAGCACTTTAGCTGTTCAATGAAAGGCAGTGTAAACTAAAGCCAATATGTCCAAATTATACTGGAACTGGACCCTCCGTTCACCGTTATCCGGAGTTGACCACGTCAGTACGAGGTTCCACCGTGAGGCCCAAGTCCTTCAATCAATCCTTCCACGCGTTTAAGTCCATCCAAAGATCTCACTCCCAGATCTGAAAGGGAATGTTCGATCCGACTCACACCCCGTTGTGTCCCCACTGTGCCCTCGACCACGACTCTGACCAATTCGCGGAAACTCTCCTTGTTTTCCGCGGACAGCCGCTCGTAAATCTTCTGAGTGGACAGCCCTCCAACTTTGCGGTAGATCAAGCCAACTCCAAATCCAATCAGGAGGAACCCTGCTACCATAAATCCAAAAATGTATATATCCTCAATGTCCTCGATGGACAGTCCCGACAGACAGACGGGGTGCCACTTTTGCCAGTTGTCAAAAACGTACCCAGCAGCCGCCGTACCATCCGGGCAAACGGCATCTCCAGAACCGCCTTTACGTGATGAAAAAATAGTATCAATTGCGTTGAGGGACCAGTTGATTAATTCCATCATTTTTCAAGTTGTACACAGGCAGAACTCTAGGAAAAAAGACAGTCAGGGCAAGCAGAGCAGGAGCAGGCAAGAGACACGTCTGACCTCGAGGAGAGCAGGAGGAGGAAGCACTCTTATTAACACTTCTTTGTCAAATTTGCATTCTTTAAGCATTTATCCGAATTTATCATAGAAGGAGTTTTCTGCTGAAGGAGGGCGATATAGAACAACAATCGTAAGTGACATTTGCGGTGAAAGTGAAACTTTCGAGGGTTCCACCCTCCAAAAACAGAATTCAAAAAAAATAACAGTAACAGCCACAGCAAACCAGTCAATTATATGCAAAACAAAATTTAATTAACATTTAAACAAACAACCAAAAAAAAAAAAAAAAAAAAAAAAAAAAAAAAAAAAAAAAAGTAACCAGGAAAACAAAAAAGCACCAGCAAACAATCACCTCCCACACACACACAACCACACCTCAGCTCCTCAGAGGATTTTACCCTCTCCCCCTTTTAATAACTAACAAGTAAAAGTAACAGCAAACAAAAATAAAATACGAATTTATAATAAACTAAATGGAAACACAAATACAAATAGAAGAACACCCCACATTCCAAGAAAGGCC